CCCTTAACAACTCTGAGCAAACTGTAGGACCAACATAATATGTGGAAAACAAATTAATTCTGGAATTATAATTGGAATAATTGGAAAACAAGCATTCAAAGAGCAAAGAATTTTAATATTGCACAGACTTTGCAATAATAGGAAAATAAAGTACCTTTCCAATATCTTTCTATGATACAAATATGATCTTAATACCTATACCAGAGGCAAAACAGAGAGAGAATATAAACCAATATCCTAATGAACATTGATGCAAAAATTTTAAATAAATATTTGCAAATAGGTTATAATAACATATTGGAAATAATAGAGGGAGATCCTATAGTTAGGGACATCAGTTCATTTCTCTAATCAAATCAGTCATGAAGTCCAGTAGTATGGTAAAGTAAGAACACTAGATTTAAAGTCAAAGGACCTTGGTTCAAAGCCTGGCTTTTCTAGTCTTCTTTGGTACTGTTTCTTTATCTGTAGGTGTTTTCCTTGGTCAATATGGGCATAACTCTTTTCTTAGAGATTATTGAAATGTGGTTCAGCTTCTTAAGAAAGTAAATTGCTAGCTCCTGATTGGTTTCCAGTGACTGGGTCTTCCCCCCAGGGCTGACTGAGACCCAGGAGCATAGACTCTTTTTATAGGAACTGCCCCTTTGCACTAGCGTATAAAGAAGAATGGTATCCTGCTCTAGATTTTTCTCTTACCCCATTCCCCAAAAGCAACTGATGTCAACTTACGACCTATCTATGGCAGAGGAAGAAATGTTATTACATGTGATTTTTCCAGCTCAAGTGATGGCAGCAACTGGAGCCCTGATAATTTCCCATAGACACAGGATATCTGTACCTGCTCAGAAGTAGAGGTGAAGCAAAAGGGAGGGTCCCTCCATCATAAAGGCCCAGAAGCAGACCCACCCCACGTCTCCATGTACTTGATTGGAATCCTGACTGAGCCTGCTCCAACGCAGTAATAAAACAATTAGAAAAGCAGCTTAGTGTAGAATAAAGCAGTTTGGACATGGACTTAGTAGACCTGGGTTTGAAAACTCTGATTTTTGCTTGTTGTGTGACTGTAGAGGGAAGGAAGGGAAGAAGGAAAGAAGGAATGAAACAAGCATTTATTGAGCACCTACTTTATGCCAGGCATTGTGCTAAACACTCTACAAATGTTATCTCATTTTCTTCTCACAACAACTCTGTGAAGTTGGTGCTTCAATTTTCCATGTGAAGAAACTGAGGAAGACAGAGTATGCATAGGGTCACACGGTAAGTGTCCAAGGCCAGATATACACTTTTCTGAGTCTCAGTTTCCTCACCTGTAAAGTGTGGATATGAAAATAACTTTCTTTCACTGTGTTATTGAGATCAAATATGATAATGTATGTAAAGTGCTTAGCAAACCTGAAAGCTCTTTGTAATTGTCAGCTATTATTAAGGCTGTCCTAAAGTGGAATGAGTTGCCTGGGGAGAAGTAGTTTTCCCTTCTTCGCTAGAGATTTTAAGTGGGGTGCAGTGGATAGAGCACTGGCCCTGGTGTCAGGAGGACCTGAGTTCAAATCCGACCTCTCACACATAACACTCACTAGCGGTGTGACTCTGGGCAAGTCACTTGACCCCGATTGTCTCACAAAAAAAAAAAAGAGAGAGAGAGAGAGAGATTTTAAGTGGGGAAAACCAGAATGTGACTTTGGGGGTATGTTGTAGAGGGAATTCTCATTCAGGTGTAGAATGAACTGTGATTACTTCCAACTCTTTGATTCTTTAAAATCACATCACATATCCTTTTTTTCCCCCCACATATCCTTTTCACTCCCACTGCCACCACCATAGTTCAGTCCCTCATCATCTTTTGTTTGAACTATTGTTGAAGTCCTCCTAACATGTGTGTTTGCTCTTAATGTAATCCTCACAGTACACCAAGCTGACTGTAGCATTCCTCTTTTCAAATAGTGGTACCCTATTGCCAGCTGAGTAAAGTATAATACCCTTAGCCTGGCATTTAAGACAATCTACAGTCTGTCTGACTGTACGCAGCTTGTATACAGACTGTATCCAGGCTGGTCTCATACCAATCTCATCCCTATACTCCCTGTTTTAGTCAAATTATATGACTCTCCTCCACTGCTCCTCACCCTGACCTCTGTTCCACTGCCTTAGCTCATGCCATCCTCTCCTGTGCTTAGCACTGCCTTGACTACTCCCTTTCCCAGGCTATTTCCGTCTCTACCTTTACAATTCTCCCTTTTTTTAAGGCCCAACTTACATGCCACTTCCTTTATAAAAGTTTCCCTGACCTTCCCAGCTGAAAGTGGCTTCTGCTTCCTCGTTGCTTATAGCCCTCATATTATACCCTACCATAAGTTATGGGCCGCTAGGTGGTGCAGTGGATAGAGCACCAGGTCTAGTGTCAGGAAGATCTGAGTTCAAATTTCGCCTCAGACACTTACTAGCTATGTGACCTTGGGCAAGTCACTTAACCCTATTTGCCTCAGTTTCTTCATTTGTAAAATAAGCTGGAGAAGGAAATGGCAAATAACTCCAGTATCTCTGCCAAGATAATCCCAGTTGAGATCATGAAGAGTCAGATACGACTGACAAAAAACATATGTTGTAGTTATTCGCATGCAGCTCCCTCACCCCAACTAGATTATAAGTTCCTTGAGAGCAAGGTCTGTCTTGTTTGATCTTAGTGTTCTCTGGGGCCAAGCACAATTCTTTGCTTAATATTACCAAAAAAGGCACTTAATAAAACTCTGTTGAGTTGAAATTCTGACACCTGTGCAGGTAATTGAAATAAAATTCCTGGGAGTATACCACTAAGGAACCACAAGGCGTCACTATTGAATGACTTTTGACAATCCTGGAACAGGCTACTTTGTAATTTTTTGCATCATCATTAAGTAGTTAAAAAAGAGAAGAGTAATTTCTTAAATTAAAATACAGAACCTGTCACTAACGTCCCACTCTAATGTCTCATTGTGGCATGGCAGAGGCTAATGTTTTGCTTTTTTTTTTTTTTTTTTTTTTAACCACATCAGCTCTCTAAAACTATCCGCTTAGTTGTAGTGGGATTGAGGGCAGACTCCCAGCAAAAATATAGTTTCTTTCAGTACTGATCCATTAAAATAAGATTCAGAATTTCTTTTGTTTTTTTGACTCTGTAATTCTCCTTTGACTCATATCTCACTGAATTGATCTTATGTTTGTATGTGTATCTTGTCTTCCTAACTGAATTATGAAATCCCTAAGGGAAAAAACTTTTGGTCATTATTGTTGTTTGCTAGTAGCATCACTATTATTAATAATTATTTCTATAATTACTATTTCTATAATGACTCTGTGAGAAGCTAGATGACTTGCCAAAGATCATTTAACTAGTTACCAACAGAGCTATAATCTTTGGACCCTCATTTTACTATTTCTTTCCCACTCCACCCTAATTGTTTAATATAAACCTTTTTTTTTCTTAAATCAAACTGTAATCTATTTCAATAATTTTCTGATTTTAAAAAATGGTGATAACTTTTTTATACTGTGTGTGGTGATGTGTCAGAAGTTTTTAGATGTATTCACCTTCAGACTCACTGGTGTATTTACCTTTGTAATTTATGTTGTGTCGGTCTTTGTAGTTCTAAGACATTTGAACTGATTATAATAATAATTATCATTTATATAGAATTTTAATATTTGAGAAGTGATTTATACTTCTTATCTCATTTGATCCTCTGTACAAACCTATGAGGTAAGTAATATTATTATTTCTATTTCACAGAAGAAAAAACTGAGGCCAACAGGTTAATAGCACCTAAATCCATGCATGCGGGGTTGAAAAATGACTGTTATCATGGGGGAGGTGAGAGGAAATGAGTGAACCTTACTCTCATCCGATTTGGCTTAAGGAGGGAATAACATACACACTCAGTTGGGTGTGGAAACCTTTCTTACCCTACAGAAAAGTAGGGGGGAAGGGGATAAGAGGGGTGGGGGGGAATGGGGGTGGGAGGGAAGGGTGATAGAAGGGAGGGCAGATTGGAGGAGGGGGTAATCAGAAGCAAACACTTTTGAGGAGGGACAGGGTGAAAGGAGAAAATAGAATAAACAGGGGGCGGGATAGGAAGGAGGGATATATGGTTAGTCTTTCACAACATGACTATTATGGAAGTGTTTTACATAATTACACATGTATAACCTATATCGAATTGCTTGCCTTCTCAATGAGGGTGGGTGGGGAGAGAGGAAGAGAGAGAATTTGGAACTCAAAGTTTTAAAAACAAACGTTGAAAATCGTTTTTATATGTTACTGGGAAATAAGATACACAGGCAATGAGATATAGAAATCTATCTTACCCAAAGGAAAATAGAAGGGGAAGGAGGTTAGAGAAGGTGGGGGGGAAGGTAGAAGGGAGGGCAGATTAGGGGAAGGGGTATTCAGAATACATGATGTCCTGGGGTGGGAGGAGGGACAAGATGGGGAGAAAATTTGAAACTCAAAATCTTGTGGAAGTATATGTTGAAAACTAAAAATAAATAAATCCAAGTTAAAGAAAAAAGAAAAATGATTGTTATAAATTGTAATTGCTTAAATACTTATATAAGGAGGATAGCACATGAAAACTTATTGAAGAAAGAGAACTACCATGCTGGGCTCCCAACGAAGAAAACTAATTCACTATTTAAGCTTTTGTGTGTTAAACTTCATTTGAAAGTTCCTCAGTAAGTTAGAATTAAATAAAATCATGAATAAAATTGAAACTAAGAAAATTTCCTTTTAGAAAAACCATTATCACATGGTTCTGTATTAAAAATATGTGCATTACAAATCTGTTATGGGAAGTCAACTTTTATGTAAGTTTAAAAATTTTGAGCTTTATTTAGTTGAGTTAGTAAGGCATTTCCTTGTTTCCTGAGATAGAGTGATTCTGGATGGGGAAATTATAGAGTTAAACACTATCGGGTTAGTTCAAGGGACATTAGTGCTTGACAGGAAGCCAATTTAACCTGAGTTTAGAACTGGTGGTAAAATGCTTCAAGGCTCTCAGTCATATAAAGACTGAGGAAACGAGTGAGTAGGAAAAACAGTCTCCCTGTTGAATGAAAGTGAGATTCAGGAATCACTGTGAAAAATACTTCTGTGATTATGGATTCAACTAACAGCAAAAAGAAGAAAGTAGTTGTCATTGGTGGTGGATTGGTAAGATTTTAGATCTATTTGTATGTTTTACTTTTTATGCCTTTTTATTATTATCATCATCATTACTATTGCACACTTATAGAAACCAGCAATTTTCTGTTGAGGTAGTTTATTTTATAGGTTTAAGTGGTACTAGTTTTGATTTTGACCTACTGGGAAATAATGCATTATTGTATAATACTTTTATTTAAAGATGATCTCCTTTTTTCTCTCTTCTTTGACATTTTGGTTTAGAATTCCCTTAAGACCTTAGCCTGTATTTCCTTTTGTTTTTGGCAATTAATACTACAGAACATATAATTTTTGCCTTAAATTTTATTTTCCATATGGATTTAGGGGCTATGCGTATGTGGTATTACAAATTATTCCATTTAAAACTAAAAATAACTCAATACCATAATGGTATCTATGCAAAATTTTCAGATTGACCAATCTCAATCAACTAATAAACCACAAAAACTTTATCTTTAAAAAATAAAATTAGATGATTGTTAGGCAAAACTGATTGGCATATTCATTCAAAATACTTGAACTTCTCATGTGTAGGAACACAGTTTATACCTTCTAAATTAATAAACTGACTCATTCAACTCAAAATATGCAGTGGGAGCCAAACAGGGGGAAAAAACTTTAAATTTTTTTTTAAATTTGAAATAAGTCCTTGTGAAATAAGCTCATCCAATTAAGTACATTGGAACTTCTCTTTCTAATATTAGTCTGAGTTCCTATCACTATACCTTGCTCATTATAGGCACTTACTAAATGTTTTTTGAATGAATCAGACAGTACTATAAGAAAACTTGATCTTTCAACAATGACCTCTCCTCTGGGACTTCACAGAGCACCTTGTTTTTCATCTGTCTAGTGCACTTATCAAATTTGAGGATTATAGTATTATCGTTATCCAGGTTTGTGTCTTACACTCCTACTAGACTGTGATAATTGTGTTTTATTTAAATTTTGTATTTGCTGCCCCCCAAAACCCTACCCCATCTCCAAACACAGGCCTTTTGTAGATTCTATTGCTATTGTTCAGTCGTGTCTGACTCTGCATGACCCCATTACAGAATTTTCTTAGCAAAGATACTGGAGTGATTTGCCATTTCCTTCTCCAGTGGATTAAGGCAAATAGTACTTACGTGACATGGCTAGGGTCACACAGCTAATAAGTGTCTGAGGCCAGATTTTAACTCTTCCTGACTCTAGGCCCAGCACTGTATCCACTGAGCCACCTAAATCTTTGTTGAATGAGTGTATGAATGAATTATAGATGAAAGAAATATTATGGTGTTATAAACTATTGAAGTTATAACAACAGAGTTCATAACTATTTATTGGGAGGCCCTTGGACATACATAATAAGCATTGAACACACATTTCTTTCCTTTCAAAGTTTATAAATCCCCTGTGAATTGCTCTGTCTCGTTTGGTTACTAAAATACTGGTTGGTTTCCTTGCCTCAGTTCTTTCCCTACCTCAGTCCAGTCTCCACTGAGCTGTCAAAGTGATCTTCCTGAAGCATAAGTCTGAACATACCACTCGCCCCCCCACCCCCACCCCATTCCATTCAATCAACTCAAGTGGTTCCCTATTGCCTCTATTTGGCTTTTAAAGTCCTCCATAACCTGTTCGCTTTCTACCTTTCCAGTCTAATTACATCTTGCACTCCCCACTCTCCACTTTCCACTGTACTCAGCAATCCAGTGGTGCTGGCCTCCTTGCTGTCTTTTCCACATGACACTCGATCTCTTTACTTGGCATTTTCATTTACTGTGCCCCATCCCTGGAACGCTTTCCCTCCTCATCTCCATGTCATAGCTTCCCTGGTTTCCTTTAAGTCTCAGCTAAAGTCCCATCTTCTGCAAAAAAGTCCCTTAATGCTAGTGCCTTTCCTGATTATCTCTGGTTTATTCTATATATATCTTGTTTCTATATAGTTATTTGCATGTTGTCCGTTAAAGTCTATTAGACCTTCATTAGTTTGTAAGAGCCTTGAAAGCAAGGACTATCTTTTGCCTTACCTTGTATTCCAATGCTTATCACAGTGCCTGGCACGTAGTAGGTGCTTAACAAATGCTAGTTGACTTACTGACTCAGGAGAGAGAAAGATCACTCCAGGCTCAAAGAAAATGGGCAAGGCTTTATGGAAGTGGTAGCATATGGGATGAATCTAGAGGAATGGTTAGTATCATTAACTCTGATGATCATAAAGAATTAAAAAGAAATTACCATTATTTTCTTTTGATTTAGATTTGGAAGATGACCTTTTAAGGCCAAGTAACACTCTCCTAGATAGAGTGAAATCATTAGTGGTGACCCCACAGTGTCCCATAAAGCTAGTGCTGTGTTGATCCAACTCTCTAGTGGCTTGGACATTATCCTGTATTTTGTTTTTCCAAGTTAAATAAGAGGAAAAATGTAGCTGATTGCATCTACAATTCTTCACCTAGGGTCTGACCCCAGGAGTCTAACTTGTGGTCTTAACTGAGGACAGATTTCAGGGACTAATTTCATAAATTAGGGTGAGAAGAAAAATTACATTATTATTTTCAGTAACGTCTAACTGAATCTTAGTATTTCCTTTAATAATGAGTGTAGGTAGAACTGTAGTATTTGGCACCACTAGACTACCAAAGGGGTCTATGACACAAAAAAATTAAGAACTCCAGTCTAGAAATTCAGCTTAGTCATTTGATACCTTAGGAATTTGCCCTGTTTTTTTTTTTTTAAACTTGATAGTTAACAGCCTTGAAAGAGCAGGAGAATTAAGGGAATCATATCTTTTAGGTATATTGAAATGCTGTGTGTGTGTGTGTGTGTGTGTGTGTGTATGTGTACGTGTAGGTGTTGTTTTCCATTGTAACAAAAGATGCTGCTACTACAAATGATTACTGTCAGTATGAGGATCTCCTGGAAAGATCGATGAATGATCAAGAATCCAAAGGTTGACCTTTGAATCACAGTTGAAGCTGTTCAAACTCTATTTTTGATGACTGTCTCTTGGATATCTGTAGGAAACCCAAACTCTGCTCAAAAAGACTTTAGCCATCCCTTATCAGATCAACAGATCCACTACTGCTTTTATCTTCTGGGAATTTGCAATTGAATCTCATATTAGTTATAAAGTCATATTTTTTGAATCTTGAAAACATTTTTTCTCTTTCTCTGCTATTTAGACATTACTCTCACTTCACTTTATCATCCTGCAGCTGCAGAAGTGTCTTTTATTTCTTCACACTCATTTAGCTTAGCAGAATTGTTTCGTAAGGATATATCCCTTTAGTGCTGGGAAGCTGGCTACATCAAGTACTACCTCCTACATGAGGCCTGTCCTCAACCTCTCTTTCTTCCCTTGAGTTTTCAATGTTTTTCCCCCTGAAATGATTTTGTATTTACTTGTATATATTTTGTATTGTGTACGTTGCTTACTCTGATTGGATTTGACTTAAGGAGGGAATAACATACATACTCAATTGGGTATGGAAACCTATCTTACCCCCACAGGAAAGTAGAGGGGGAGGGATAAGAGGGGAAAGGGTAATCAGAAGCAAACACTTTTGAGGAGGGACAGGCTGAAAGGAGAGAACAGAATAAATGGGGAGGGCGGCAGGATAGGATGGAGGGAAATATAGTTAGTCTTTCACAACATAACTATTATGGAAGTGTTTTGCATGACTACACATGTATAACTATATTGAATTGCTTGCCTTCCCAATGACAGTGGGTGGGAAGGGAGGAAGGAAGAGAATTTAGAACTCAAAGTTTTAAAAATGAACGTTAAAAATTGTTTTTACATGTAACTGGGAAATAAGATACACAGGCAATGGGGTATAGAAATCTATCTTGCCCTACAGGAAAATAGAAGGGTAAGAGGATAAGAGAAGGGGTGGGGATGATAGAAGGAAGGGCAGATTGGGGTCAGGGTTAATTAGAATGCAGGCTGTCATGGGGTGGGAGGAAGGGAGAGATGGGGAGAAAATTTGGAACTCAAAATCTTATGGAAGTGAATGTTGAAAACTAAAAAATAAATAAAAACTTTAAAAAAAAGAAATGTGTGAAGCTACAAGTGAGACTGTAACATATGATTTGACAAAATTCACCCCCACTTCCACCCTGATTTATGTCTGCCAAATCAGAAAAATTGCATAGATTTTGCATGGTTCACAATAATTAGTTCACACTGACATTATGATGTTAATGAACTTTACAATTAGAAATGTACGGGCCACTCATAATCACCACCTGCTGCTCATGCTATTTTTTGCACATGACAACTAGCATACAATCTATGGGCACAGCTATTGATATAAATGATTCAAGTGAGTAGGCACACAATTTTGTAGGTAATTAACATATGAATGAATGAAAAAACAATTATTAAGTTCTTACTATGTGCTAACTGTGCTAAATACTGGGGATTCAGATGCAAAAGTGAGATAGTCCTTGTCCTCAAGAAACTAGCATTCTACCAGCATGAGAATAATTAGTAAGGGTTTTTTGGTCTGGGGACACTGGGGTGTTGAATGAATGAATAAATAGAGTATTTAGCTATGTGGAACAACAGGCCATTCTTTTCAGAGAGTGTTGATTTGAATATAATTCTTGGGACAAGAGGTGGAAAGGGGTGGGAATCAGGGGAGATGAGGGGCCTCCCTCCTCGGTATGATAAATATGAATGGACAGGGTGGAAAACAGCTGAGTTGAAGATGAAGATTTGTGGCCCCAGGTATTTCAAAGTTGAGACTTGGCCCCTCAGGGACTTGGTCTGTGGAGGTCCAGTTTGGAAGTTTTAGCAGCAGCAGTAGCAGGTCAGAAAATGGATGGGGTAAGATGAGAACATACAGTCCCAAGGAGTGCAGAACTGAATGGCTTAGCTGTTCCAAAGGCATAGATGGTGCCTGAAGGTTTCATTTGGGAAGAGAAGCAGCAGCTGTTGCAGCAGGGCTATTTTCTCCATCATTTGTAGTTCTCGATCTTGAGTGACTTAGGTATCTATTACT